TCTAACTCTTCACTCCCGTTAAACCCATTGAAACAAAATTCTACCAAGTTAGCAATAGCAAAAACCCCACAGTCAACCCCGTTTTTCTGTTGTTGCACATTTGGTAATACTGTTTTTTAAAACTTTTCTATTTTCCCCATATGATGATGGCGGTGGAGGTTTTTACATATTATGCATATTTAGCACGAGTCTTGACGAAGTTATGTCCCCTTAGTACGGGTACGGGAGGAAACAAATTAAAACACCTGCGATCCTCGCCCGCGATCACAACAAAGTCAGAATTTCATGTGAAATATGTTGTTTATTTCAACGAAACTTACATAATTATCAACAGTAAGGTATTTTCTTCTATATATCTGAAAATAACATGTTAATTTTCCCTAAATTTCTAGTTATATGTGAAAAACCGTGATTTTCACGGTTGACTGCGGCGTACAAGTTTTACCCCCTTGAAAAACACATTATCGTCGATTTCTAAATTATTAGATAATAAATAAACATTTTTGTAATTGTCACATTTAGAAAATAATGTTTGAAATTATCCTATATTTTTATAAAAATTATAAACCATCGCGTTAATGAGATATTAAAATATCTTTATATTCCCGGTACGGGGTTCAGTCCGGGTCCGGGAACGGGGTACAAGATTTACCTACCACCCTGGCGTATGGTAAAAACGCAAGGAAGACCGAGATTAGCTGTGTTTTGCCAACATGGACAAGGGGATGTGTGTCGTCTGTCGTCCATCCCTCTCATTAGCTTTTGGATAGCTACGCTTAGCCACCCATCAGGTAAATATGCCACTCGACGTATTTATACACAGATGTTGTGCATGCTAAATGTACATTCAGAGTTTGGCGAGGTGTGTAAAGCTGACTGTATCCATGTCGGATTTTATAAGATTACCTCCCCTCCGAGATACAACACGTATACCGATTACCGGTACATGCTATGGTGCGTGTTGGATCCCGGATCTCAAAAGGAGATACAGGAGATAAAAGATTTGTGGTTGGGTTTACTGTCATGGCTATGTTTGTAGACGGTTTATCAGTTGTAACAACCGGCTCGGTAAAATTGGTTAGAAAATAGTTCGTATGTTATGTCGAACAGTTAAAATGACAATCGAAAACCTAACCCCGCCCACAAGTCAAGGGACAAATATCCCCTGCTCCCCTGGAAAGTGACATTGACTTTTACCTTCTGCATAATGTGAAAAAGCTGTCCCTCCCCCTGTAACATGACTATGCCCCTGCCCCACCCCTTTAAAGGACAATATCCCTGCCCCTCCCCCTTTAGAGTGACAAAGGCATATAACATCCTCTTTGATATGAAAAAATTGTTTTTTTTTATGTTCAAGTGACATACAACTGCAGACCCTCTCCCTTGTAGTGACAGTGACCTCCCCCCACAATTAACAATTATTCTGCAATATATCTTATTTTAACTTTTAAGCAGTTTTCTAAATTTTAAAAAGGAGTATTCTTATTTTATAATCATATTTTTCACAAGTCCAGAGGACCAGTTAGGTAAAGTGATTCACTAGATGTTGCTGAAATCTACTAGTCCAGGACTAGCGGACTAGTGTTAGTGTGGAACCCTGCTGGCAAGCTAGAATTCCAATGATGCAGTATAAGATTGATAGAATCTTTCACCCCCTTGGGGGTGAGATAGGAGAATCTCAACCCGAGGGGAAGATTCTTAACTTAACTCAACTTAAGAATCTTTTCCCGAGGATGCTTATACTGCATCATTGGAATTCTAGCTTGCCAGCAGGGTTCCACACTAACACTAGTCCGCTAGTCCTGGACTAGTAGATTTCAGCAATAAGTATCAATAATGAATAGTGTTCTGAGTGTGAAAATCAGCATGGCCAGACAAGGATTTGAACCCCCCGACTTCAAATTTGTATACTGTTGTTCTTATCCACTGAGCTATCATCTCAACAAATGTGTCTTGGCCTAACTGTGCTACAGTTACCTGATATATTCAAAATGAATTTTAGGAATGGTTACTTAATTAGAATGTACGAAAAAACAAAGTGCAGCTGGACAGGGATCCTTAAGGGTACTAGCTGTTACATAACACGCTGACCTATAGTACCTGTTACATAACACACTGACCTATAGTACCTGTCACATAACACGCTGACCTATAGTACCTGTTACATAACACGCTGACCTATAGTACCTGTTACATAACACACTGACCTATAGTACCTGTTACATAACACACTGACCTATAGTACCTGTTACATAACACACTGACCTATAGTACCTGTTACATAACACACTGACCTATAGTACCTGTTACATAACACACTGACCTATAGTACCTGTTACATAACACACTGACCTATAGTACCTGTTACATAACACACTGACCTATAGTACCTGTTACATAACACACTGACCTATAGTACCTGTTACATAACACACTGACCTATAGTACCTGTTACATAACACACTGACCTATAGTACCTGTTACATAACACACTGACCTATAGTACCTGTTACATAACACGCTGACCTATAGTACCTGTTACATAACACGCTGACCTATAGTACCTGTTACATAACACGCTGACCTATAGTACCTGTTACATAACACACTGACCTATAGTACCTGTTACATAACACACTGACCTATAGTACCTGTTACATAACACACTGACCTATAGTACCTGTTACATAACACACTGACCTATAGTACCTGTTACATAACACACTGACCTATAGTACCTGTTACATAACACACTGACCTATAGTACCTGTTACATAACACGCTGACCTATAGTACCTGTTACATAACACGCTGACCTATAGTACCTGTTACATAACACGCTGACCTATAGTACCTGTTACATAACACACTGACCTATAGTACCTGTTACATAACACACTGACCTATAGTACCTGTTACATAACACACTGACCTATAGTACCTGTTACATAACACACTGACCTATAGTACCTGTTACATAACACACTGACCTATAGTACCTGTTACATAACACACTGACCTATAGTACCTGTTACATAACACACTGACCTATAGTACCTGTTACATAACACACTGACCTATAGTACCTGTTACATAACACACTGACCTATAGTACCTGTTACATAACACACTGACCTATAGTACCTGTTACATAACACACTGACCTATAGTACCTGTTACATAACACACTGACCTATAGTACCTGTTACATAACACACTGACCTATAGTACCTGTTACATAACACACTGACCTATAGTACCTGTTACATAACACACTGACCTATAGTACCTGTTACATAACACACTGACCTATAGTACCTGTTACATAACACACTGACCTATAGTACCTGTTACATAACACACTGACCTATAGTACCTGTTACATAACACACTGACCTATAGTACCTGTTACATAACACACTGACCTATAGTACCTGTTACATAACACACTGACCTATAGTACCTGTTACATAACACACTGACCTATAGTACCTGTTACATAACACACTGACCTATAGTACCTGTTACATAACACACTGACCTATAGTACCTGTTACATAACACACTGACCTATAGTACCTGTTACATAACACACTGACCTATAGTACCTGTTACATAACACACTGACCTATAGTACCTGTTACATAACACACTGACCTATAGTACCTGTTACATAACACACTGACCTATAGTACCTGTTACATAACACACTGACCTATAGTACCTGTTACATAACACACTGACCTATAGTACCTGTTACATAACACACTGACCTATAGTACCTGTTACATAACACACTGACCTATAGTACCTGTTACATAACACACTGACCTATAGTACCTGTTACATAACACGCTGACCTATAGTACCTGTTACATAACACGCTGACCTATAGTACCTGTTACATAACACGCTGACCTATAGTACCTGTTACATAACACACTGACCTATAGTACCTGTTACATAACACACTGACCTATAGTACCTGTTACATAACACACTGACCTATAGTACCTGTTACATAACACACTGACCTATAGTACCTGTTACATAACACACTGACCTATAGTACCTGTTACATAACACACTGACCTATAGTACCTGTTACATAACACACTGACCTATAGTACCTGTTACATAACACACTGACCTATAGTACCTGTTACATAACACACTGACCTATAGTACCTGTTACATAACACACTGACCTATAGTACCTGTTACATAACACACTGACCTATAGTACCTGTTACATAACACACTGACCTATAGTACCTGTTACATAACACACTGACCTATAGTACCTGTTACATAACACACTGACCTATAGTACCTGTTACATAACACACTGACCTATAGTACCTGTTACATAACACACTGACCTATAGTACCTGTTACATAACACACTGACCTATAGTACCTGTTACATAACACACTGACCTATAGTACCTGTTACATAACACACTGACCTATAGTACCTGTTACATAACACACTGACCTATAGTACCTGTTACATAACACACTGACCTATAGTACCTGTTACATAACACACTGACCTATAGTACCTGTTACATAACACACTGACCTATAGTACCTGTTACATAACACACTGACCTATAGTACCTGTTACATAACACACTGACCTATTTTGTTACATAGCATGAATAACAGGTATTAAATTAGGTAGCAATATATTCTTCAGGTAACTGTTATTCATTAAGTATAATCAGACTTTGTTTTCTTCAACTTCAGGTGGAACAGATTTTCCTGACAAGCATCCAATGGAAGGATTTTGTTTGTTTATACTTACCATGTAGAACAGTGAAATAAAATGTCAGAAATCAATAACAATAATTATACAAAATAAGAACTGGAAAAAATAATTCGCTTCAGTCAAGATGTGATTCCTGGTGTAAACGATCGTGAGGATGCTGAGGCATAAATACGTGGTGTGTGTAGTGGTGGGCGTGTTTCTGTCCTGGAACGTCATCATGTACTATGTCCTGATGTCACGGCACCCGAGAACGGCGAGCAAGGTACAATATCACACGTAATTTACCACAGAATAATGTCACAACACCCAGGCAAGGTACAATATCACACTTATCAGGAAGGGTTTGGTGCTAATGTAGTTTACCACAGAATAATGTCACAACACCAAGACACGGTAAGTCCTGGAATGTCGACATGTACTACGTCCTGATGTCACGGCACCCGAGAAAGGCGAGCAAGGTACAATATCACACTCTTTAGGGAGGGTTTGGTGCTAATGTAGTTTACCACAGAATAATGTCAACCACACCAAGTCACGGTAAGTCCTGGAACATCGTCATGTACTACGTCCTGATGTCACGGCACTCGAGAAAGGCGAGCAAGGTACAATATCACACTTATCAGGGAGGGTTTGGTGCTAATGTAGTTTACCACAGAATAATGTCAACCACACCAAGTCACGGTAAGTCCTGGAACGTCATCATGTACTACGTCCTGATGTCACGGCACCCGAGAAAGGCGAGCAAGGTAAAATATCACACGTAATTTACCACAGAATAATGTCACAACACCCAGGCAAGGTACACTATCACACTTATCAGGGAGGGTTTGGTGCTAATGATTTACCACAGAATAATTTCACCACACTAAGTCACGGTAAGTAATGTAGCGTCGTCATGTACTACGTCCTGATGTCACGGCACCCGAGAACGACGAGCAAGGAACAATATCACACGTAATTTACCACAGAATAATGTCACAACACCCAGGCAAGGTACAATATCACACTTATCAGGGAGGGTTTGGTGCTAATGATTTACCACAGAATAATGTCAACCACACCAAGTCACGGTAAGTCCTGGAATGTCGTCATGTACTATGTCCTGATGTCACGGCACCCGAGAAAGGCGAGCAAGGTACAATATCACACGTAATTTACCACAGAATAATATCACAACACCCAGGCAAGGTACAATATCACACTTATCAGGGAGAGTTTGGTGCTAATGATTTACCACAGAATAATGTCAACCACACCAAGTCACGGTAAGTCCTGGAATGTCGTCATGTACTATGTCCTGATGTCACGGCACACGAGAACGGCAAACAAGGTACACTATCACACTCTTTTAGTCTTTAGGGAGGGTTTGGCGCTAATGTAGTTTACCATAGAATAATGTCACAAGACCAAGTCACGGTAAGTCCTGGAACGTCATCATGTACTACGTCCTGATGTCACGGCACCCGGGAATGGTCATTATATGTGCAACATTGAAGGATTACCCGCCCATGAAGGAGCATTCAAAATACATAAATAACAAAAATTTGAAACTGAATAAACCAAAAAACACTGAAATTGATGTGTTTATTTATTGCTATATGTTTTATTGTAAGAAACAGGTAGAGGAAAACTTTTTGAAAATCACATTTTAGGTTTTTCACCCAACCTATGTATGTGTGGGAACACCGATGGTATGTCCCAATATTTGCTAAATGTCGATGATATTTTCCCAATTATAGCTAAGGGGCCCTTTCTCCAAATAGCTGGCAGAATCCTGGTTAGTTCAATCTGACCAAGTTCTGATGAAACCTGATCAGTGTTCCTATTTCACAATGACAAACATTACTTGTTTACATGACATTTTTGAGTTCATTGTTGTTTTATATCACATTCTGTGAGTTAGTTATTCTTATATGAGTTTTTTTTTAGATTCTAATAGAATCGTATTGATTTGTCCTCCATTTCAGCTGATCCCCGCTTCCATGGAGCTGGACATCTTGGACATTGGCATCCAAAACCAGCTGAGACAGAACCTGGCATTGCTAACAAAGCTACAAAGTCTGCGTAATGAAACAGGTGAGCGTGAGAGGTCATTCAGAGGTGAAGAGTCTATATGTTATCAAACACTGTAAGGGGGAAGAGGTCATACAGACGTTAGTCTAGGTTACTGAACACTAAAGGTCAAGGTCAGTAGGGGTAGAGATCATACAGACGTTATTCTAGGTTACTAAACACTAAAGGTCACAAGGGGTAGAGATCATACAGACGTTAGTCTAGGTTACTAAACACTAAAGGTCAAGGTCACAAGGTGTAGAGATCATACAGACGTTAGTCTATGTTACTAAACACTAAAGGTCAGGGTCACAAGGGGTAGAGATCATACAGATATTAGTCTAGGCTACTAAACACTAAAAGTCAAGGTCACAAGGGGTAGAGATCATACAGACGTTAGTCTAGGTTACTAATCACTAAAGGTCACAAGGGGTAGAGATCATACAGACATTAGTCTATGTTGCTAAACACTAAAGGTCAAGGTCACAAGGGGTAGAGATCATACAGATATTAGTCTAGGTTACTAAACACTAAAGATCAAGGTCACAAGGGGTAGAGATCATACATACATAAGTCTAGGTTAATAAACACTAGAGGTCACGAGGATTAGAGGTCATACAGAGGTTAGTCTATGTTATTCAACACTAAAGGTCAAGGTCACAAAGGGTACAGGTCATACAGAGGTTAGTGTATGGAATGAAAAACTGAAAGTGTCAAGGTCACAAGGGGTGAAAGTTATGATCGATTTGTCATAGTCAGAGGTAAATGACTAGGTATTGATGAAATTGATTTACATATATACACATGTATTATACATATATACACATGTATTATACATATTTACACATGTATTATTGATGTCGTTCTGTTAGATCCAACAACGTAGTATATCTTATTTTTATGATTTTATGATAAAGGATTTAACTTAATTTCGTTTTGAATAAAATTTTCTAAGAGTGGTTAGCTGACAATCTGAACAACACTTCTTTAGAGAGACACACAGGCATTAATGGCACAGTTTACCTTGTTTAAATTATTAGGAAAAATCTCCTACGTAAGAGAGAAGGGATCTGAGGTGAAATGAGACTGATAACTAGTGGTTTGTGTTACAGAGAGGAATCCTATGCCAAATAAACCAGGTCCCATGGTGCTACCGGACAGAAAAGGAGACGGAAGTAATCTCGGCAAAGTGGTGCTACCAGTACTGATGATCGCCTGTGACCGTGTTACTGTCAGTCGGAGTCTGGACCAGCTCATCAAGTGAGTGACCTGTCACCGCTGGTATAGAATAGGTAGAGGATAATAACACTACAAGACAGTGTTGTGTAACCACCCAGCTGCTGACAGACATGGACAAAATACTATAAAGTTGTGTAACTTCCCCTGGCCAATGTTTCGCTGTTATCAGGATCAAAACAAGATTGTTGGGCTCATGAGGATCGTTTTGTATTTGGGTGATAAGATTTATTTTATAAGTGGGTTTTTTAAATGACATAAAATATGATTTTAAATTCAATGAATTATCTTCATTTATCGGTAATTAACAGTTATTTTTTGTGTCTGTATATATAATCACAGAGATCATGTTATCCATACTAGAAATATTTGCAGGGTATTTAATTTTGCGCTATCTTTGGTGACTGCCATTTCAGCAAAATTGAATTCCCCACGAATATTACCAGCTATATAATACAGTACAAAACTACTTAAAAATAGGTTATTTTAATATATATTGCACCCTGGTGGCCTTATACAGTTCCTGAATGCCTAGGATAATAATATTTGCCAAGTAGCTACCTGAGGTGTAGGATCATAAAATGTTTTCAGATGAAATATCATTTCCTTTTTTCATGGTAACCCGGTGTCAAATATGTTGATCACTTCAACAATTACTTTAAAATCAGTGTTTGAACGTAAAGGTAGACCCATAGATAAACACCATGGTCTATGGGAATCGTTGACTCCATAGACCATGTTGTCTATGAAGTCATTTCCTATGGTGTATTTAACCCTTTTTACCCTATGTAACTTTAGTAGACTCTACCATGCATTGATCTGGATGAGTCCATTATGGTCTACAGTGGTGAAAGGGTTAGTTCAATGATAGGTTTAGTAGTGAGAGAAAAGGTTCTCTGTGATAGTAGTGATCTTCCTTTAAAATTACACAGATTTTCTTTATTTCATTTAACACTAAATGTTCTTGGATCTGCAACATTTTCTTGGATGAGGTCTGGTCGATCAAAATGTCAGTAGGTCTATAAGAAATTTAAATCTCATAATTTAGAAGTTCAAACTTCAATTATTATTTTTTGCTGCTGAGAGTACAACAACTGTTATGACTTCAAGGCTTGGCATAGAAAACCAAGCAAACCTACATGCAATTTAACATATATGTATAGATATCACAGAATTTGTTTATTGATTAGTTAAAGCTCCTTTAAAGAAAAGACAGGAAACAAAACATATAGGATTAAAATCTATGCATAACTTTTCAATTTCTTATCATTGTTTCTAGGCATCGTACTACAAAAGAGCAATTCCCTATCATAGTGAGTCAGGATTGTGCAAACAAACCCACATCTGACGTCATACAGAAATATGTCACTTCAGACAATGTCATACACATCAAGGTTAGTATCACATCAAGGTTAGTATCACATCAAGGTTAGTATGAGGGCTAGTCCTGACTCACTTACAAAGTGGCATGTGACATTTTACAAAAAATATATCACCCAACACAACACATCATAATAATCAAAGGTAAGTATGAGGGTGAGTTAGGACTCCTTAAGAGCGACTGTATATGACGTCATATAGAAATATGTCAAATCAGACAACATAATATGTAAGGCTAGTATCACCTCATGCAGATACTTTTTCTACTTTATCAAATTAAAAATTTGCTATCAATATATATATAAACTCAAAGAAATGAGAAACTGAAAAGCTGCGATAAGATTTTGAATTTTGTACTCAAATTAGAATATCAATTTATACTTATTCTTCAAAATATTCTGTATATCAAATCCTAAACTTAGAATGCTTGTGTTGATTTCAGCATCCTAACCAGTCTAATTTTGAGCTGAATAAGAAGGACAAGAAGTTTGTGGGTTACTATAAGATTGCTCGTCACTACAAGTGGGCGCTGGACCAGGTTTTCTTCAAGTTTAATTACTCCACTGTCATCATTGTAGAAGGTGAGAAACGCTTCACTACTACCACCTTAACTACGTATGTACATCAGTATAATTTAATCCCTGACGAAAGGCTAAGCCCGAAAGCTTAGAAAAGAGTGACTTTAAAGTTTCTTAATAACATCAGTATATTTAAATCTCTACTCAAAGTTCCTCTATAAGCCTTACCATAAGAAAACACATTCATAAGGCTATGAATGCAATTGGATCAGCAACATTTTGAGGTTTCTCCTCCTGCCTCGATTAACAGGAGACAACCGTTAGAGGTAACCATTTGGTGACATGAGGCTGCTCCAGGAATCTCGTTTGTACTGATGACAGACATATAGATATCAAAAATATAAGGGAACATCTTTGTTTAGGTCAGTAATAACTAAATAATTGGAATGTAAATATATAGGGATTGGACAGCATTCTAGCGGGCTTCATGGTATATGTATGTAAAAGATTTGCGTTCATACCAGCATGAAATTGAAAAAATGCCATTCAATCCTTATGTGAAAACAGGAAGTCACTAACATATTGACAGACTCATAGTCTATGTGACCTATTGACACGTTTTGCGACATATTCACACTCTTTAAAATATACATTTCAGCAGTATGACAAAAACAAACATTTTGATACATTGAACAAGGTTATATCAAGTATAGCCTGAACATTTTCACTTCCCAAGTTTAATCTTTGAATCTTTATTGTTACAGATGACCTTGACATTGCACCGGATTTTTTTGAGTATTTTTCGGCAACCTATCCAATTTTGACCTCTGACCCTTCAGTGTGGTGCGTGTCAGCCTGGAATGACAATGGGAAAAATGGCATGGTGTCGGATGAGCCAGGTAAGACAATTAAAGGTCAAGGAAAAGCCAGATATTTTGAGGTCAGTGAAAAGCCAGATAAGTTGAGGTCAGTGAAAAGCCAGCCAAGAATAAAACCAATGACCGACATATGTAGGTCAAGGTCAGTGAGAGGTCCTGTAAGTAATAGGTCATTGATGATCAAGATAAGTTGAGGTCAATTCAGAGCCAAGTCACTGACAAACCAGGAGTGAGAAACGTATGATCAGGGCCGCTTTCGTTTATCAAAATCCAAACGATTGAACCGGTTGGACCAGAGTTGTTTGTTTATGGAATAAAGCCTGACATAGTAATCTTGTGCTGCTTTCAGGCGAGCCTTGACAAAGCCTTGACAAAGCCTTGCAAGGCTTGCATAAACATTTGCAGGTCTGCCAGGATTTATACCCAAAATGTTATATTCAAAAACAGACAACTGGTTCAAGTTACTGGTTTAAGTTAGATTTAAAATTTAAAAAACAGACAAACCGGTTGAACCGGATACACGAAAGGGGTCCAGGTCAGAAGTATATAATTCTGTCCTGTGATTAACCTTTGTCTGTTAAATTATCTCCCCAAGTCTGTGACGGATGAAAATGTAACCTTATTTTAATTAACAAGTTTTGTGATTTGCTTGTCTTGTCAGAGCTACTGTACAGGTCCGACTTCTTCCCTGGACTTGGCTGGATGATGGAGAAGAAAATCTGGCTTGAGCTCGGCCCTAAGTGGCCTATTGCGTAAGTAATAATTATATTATTACCTTTCACCATTTTATACCATAAGGGACTTATCCAGATCAATGCATGGTAGAGTTTTCTAAAGTTTCATAGGGGTGAAAGGGTTAATAGTGTAATGTTAGGCACTATAACGATAACAGTTGGTAAGTGACTATTTTAATTGAATCAAAAAGTTTTTGGGACGAATGGATATAAACAATGCTAATAATCGTTACAGGTTTTGGGACGACTGGATGCGCTACCAGGACCAGAGGAAGGAGCGAGTTTGTATACGACCGGAGATCTGTAGAACAAGTACATTCGGCAAGAAGGGGGTCAGCAAGTAGGTCATGCATATCATTATAGTGTTTAGCTCTCCTTTGACTAAAGGAAGTCATGTAGTACTGTTTCTTGTAATATAATTGTAGCAGAACTAGACTGGGTCGATCTTTGGCCACCAGGTAACTCAGTTGGTAGAGCGTCCGTCTAGAGTTTGAAGGGTCAATGTTCGAACCCCAGTCTGGCTGTGCATTTTTCTGCTCCTACTACATTTGGTGCCTAACCAAATATACCCATGGAAGGTATCTGGGTGTAACACTATCATCTGACCTTAAATGGGATTCACATATAAATACTACCTGCCCAAAAGCAAATTCTACGCTAGGCTTTTTATGACGAAATCTTAAAACTGGCTCAACATCAGCCAAAGTACAGGCATACAAATCATTAGTTCGACCACCACTTGAGTATGCCTGTACAGTATGGGACCCTCACACCCAAACAAATATTGACAAGTTGGAAATGGTCCAGGGAAGGGCAGTGCGCTATGTGCTCAATAAGCACAGGTACAACCATCGTACCTCCAGTGTGTCAGAAATGTTGGACCACCTAAAGCTGCACCCTCTAGTAGATAGACGTAGAGATGCTCGTCTGACCATGCTTTATAACATTGTAAACCAGAAAGTCGCTATCGTAAAATCAGACAGATTAATCCCTACAGTTAGAAAATCCTGAACAAACCACCAGTTTTCGTATCAAATTCCCCACTCAAAAACCCAGACCAGAAAGGCATCATTCTTCCCTCGAACTATACCCGAGTGGAATAATCTCCCACCTGACATTATTTCGAGCCCCACAACGGAATTATTCAAATCAGCCCTCTACCGTCACTTTTCAAACGCAAATTAGACCATCTCGTATCTTTTAAAAACAATCTCTTTCCATGTTTCACTCCTCGTCTGACATTTTATCTTCAAATTGTTGAAGTTGGTCAGTACCATTTAGAAGTAGAAATAGAAGGTGGTATAGGGTCTCGTGTGTCTTCGGGGTCAAAGACTTTGTTAAAGGAAGTAGGAATGTAGCGGAACTAGACTGAGTCAATCGATTGGGACCAGGTAGCTCAGTTGGTAGAGTGTCCGTCTAGAGTTTTGAGGGTCCTGTTTTGAACCCCCATCTCGCTGTGCATTTTTTCGCTCTTACAACATAATCTTGTCTGAGCTGTAACCTAAACGAATATCTTGATGAAACTCAAAAAAACGTTCTTGCATCATCCCCGGGGTGTGTGCAGTGGTCTGTAAGAAGGTCACTGTGACCTTGATCTCAAGGTTGAAGGTCAAGTTAGTGCAAAGTTTCCTGTTAAATCCAAAAGTGCTCATGTAGTATATATATACAGAATGTTCTCAGTTGTTAACATGTAAGTAGTGAAGGCTTTTTAAATAAATTTTCATCAGAATTAAAAAAAAAAATATATACAAATGCGGACACAACAGTTCCTTATAACATGTAGGGATACAGTGTTTCTTTATTTGATAATTTATCAATTAACTCGAATTTATTTTCTATAAAAAAAGTTATTTGCAAGTTTGTTACGTTTCGGAACTCTCTAGTAATGAAGATCAGTCAGGTAACATACATCCTTAAGACAGTCCACATTATTGTTTTACAGGGGTTTATTCTATGAGAAACATTTAAAACACATCAAGTTGAATGACAAGTTTGTAGCATTCACCAAGAAAGATTTATCCTACCTCAGCAAAGTAAGTACAAACTCCTAATATATATTATCTTATTTTTAACTCATTCAACCCTGAAGACACATATGAACTATTCCAAATAAAAAGTTTGAATAGTTCATTATGAAATTTCAGGAATGAATGAGTTAAGACTCCCATGAGTTAACACCAACTGTAATCCGGTATACTGGACAAGACTCCTCTCCTCATTAATATATCATTTGACTATTAGCATGTACAGTTAACTTTACAAGAATTAAGTAATTTAGTATAATATAATAATAAAAATATTGATTTCACAGTATGACCTCTGGGCGTGTTAAAATATTACAGGAAATAAATGACCTGGTGAAATATGACCCCAATTTGAATTTTGAACCTTGGCTACTGCAATTTCTTTGCTTGTGTATAACAAAAGAACTGTGAAAAGTGACCTCTATATTTATGTATAACAAGAATTAATAATGGTTAATTTTGACCTTTTGATATGTTATAGAAGAACTATGACCCCTGGTTCACCCGTCAGGTATATGACACGCCGGAGGTGACGGTTGCCGAGGTGATGTCTGGCAGTAAGAAACACCTTAAAGCACTGCGTGTTACTTACACCACAAAGGATCAGTACAAGACCACGGCAAAGAAGCTTGGCATCATGGACGACTTCAAGGTCAGTTGGAGGACATGACATAATTCTTTACAGGGATTTTAAGTAGACAATAGAGTATACTCTCCGATTTGTTACTATGTGAACATTGCCTTACTCAAGTTAGATAAGCCTGATCACCAACCATCACTTGTTGGGGAATCTTTATGCATACTGTTGTTTTGTTACAGGCAGATTTTCAAAATAAATAAAAATGTATATTATTGTTTGTTTCAGGCAGGTGTTCTAATAATAAAACAATATAAAAATATGCATATTTTTGTTTGCCTTCAGGCTGGTGTTCTATTAATAAGAAAATGAATATAAGTATACATGTATACAGTATCATTGTTCTGTTACGGACAGTAAATATAAGTATACATGTATAATGTATCATTGTTCAGTTACAGGCAAAAAAAACACCTATAAATGTATATTGTTGTTTGGTACAGGCCCGTATTCTGTTAATAAAATAATTAACTGTAGATATATATTTTGGTTCCTTACAGGCGGGTGTCCCCCGTGTGGCATACAGAGGAGTTGTCAGCTTCATCTTCCACGGACAGAGAATTTATCTTGCTCCAAAGCAGGACTGGCAAAAATATGACCCCAAATGGACGTGACCTTGACCACTTGGACTTTCATTTCATTGACCTTCACATACATTTCATATTAGGTCAGCATGCGGTCATCTGGTGCAGTTTGACCACTCCTACAAACTTTCCCCTGTGGTCAGCGGTGTATGACTGGTCAAGTTTGGCCAACCCTATCTGTGATCAACACTGTATGTAAGCAGCTGACTTGAGAAAAAAATCATGGAAGCCTAAATTTATTATGTATTCTCCATATTACTCTAGCATTCCAGGCTTGTACAAATGGCTGTCTCAACAAAAAAACAATCTGAGGAAATCCTTGACATATTATTGATAACATTCTGAGAGAGATTGAGAGAGAATGGGTGACTTACCATAACAACAAATATTCTGGGCGAGAGCACATTACACCCCCTGAGGTTTCATAATGGACTATTCCAACCTTGGAATTGGAGGAGTTCAAATGTGTCCTCAGGGGTGAATGCATTAATGACAAATATTCAGCGTGAGAGAAATTGATTTAATGACAAACATTCTAGGAGAGAAATTGATTGAACGACAAACATTCTGTTTGAGAGAACTTGACTTAATGACGAATATTCTGTTTGAGAGAAATTGACATAATGACAAACATTCTAGGAGAGAAATTGATTTAATGACAAATATTCTGGCTGAGAGAACTTGATTTAATGACAAATATTCTGGGTGAGAGAACTTGACTTAATGACAAATATTCTGGGTGAGAAAACTTGACTTAATGACAAACATTCTAGGAGAGAAATTGATTTAATGACAAATATTCTGTTTGAGAGAAATTGATTTAATGACAAATATTCTGGTTGAGAGATCTTGACTTAATGACAAATATTCTGGGCGAGAGGATTTGACATAATGACAAATATTCTGGGCGAGAGGATTTGACATAATGACAAATATTCTGGGCGAGAGGATTTGACATAATGACAAATATTCTGGGTGAGAAAAATTGACTTAGTGATGAATATTCTGGGCGAGAGAAATTAACTTGATGATGAATGTTCTGTGCGAGAGACGATACGAAAGATAATGACAAACACAAGACAGAAAATGGCTTTTTAAAATGACAACTTTATATACATTAATGAAAGTAAATGACTCGGTGGTTAACTTTCTGTATCGGATGTTTGGTTCAATGATAAATGTTATGACAGAAAATGGCTGATAACCATTCTGGAGAGAGAAAAATGTTGATGTAATGACAAACATAAGAGTGAAAATTTACTTTTTTATGTGAGAGAGAAAGAGAGAGAGAGAAAAAATGGCCTTATGAGAAAAATGGCTATCTTAAAAGATAACCATTCTTAAAGGGAGAAAAAAGTTGACAATGATATCCGTTCCAAGAAAGAAAATGGCAGTTTGAGGATATTTGTATTTTTTGTTGTATTGTTCTCCATGGTGATGGATATACATGTGAAATCATTTAATATATATTTATCAATATAAGAATGAGTTTTTAAAAATAATTGTTATATTTCTGCTGTTGACGTCTTTCAGGGTTAGTATATTGTTGCATTGTGGGGGTGTATCACTTTCAGAGTAAGTCCACTGTTGCATTGTGAGGCCAAGGGGTTATCACTTTCAGAGTTAGTCCACTGTTGCATTGTGGGGTATATCACTTTTAGGGTTAGTCCACTGTTGCATTGTGGGGGTATATCACTTTCAGAGTAAGTCCACTGTTGCATTGTGGAGGTGTATCACTTTCAGAGTTAGTCCACTGTTGCATTGTGGGGATATATCACTTTGAGGGTTAGTCCACTGTTGCATTGTGGGAGTATATCACTTTGAGGGTTAGTCCACTGTTGCATTGTGGGGGTGTTTCACTTTCAGGTTCAGTCTGTTTTATTGTTGTAGGACAGAAGTCGAAGATATATAGTTTGTAAATAGGATCATTATATATCCATTCACAGATTTGATATAGGAAAATCTTGACCTGAGGTGTAAGATTCTAAGTTGCCAAACCTGGGTTTAACTCATTCACCCCTGAAGTTTCATAATGAACTATTCCAACCTTTGAATTGGAAGAGTTCAAATGTGTCTTCAGGGGTGAACGAGTTGAAGAAATCATCTCCTGCAGTGTCTGCCTGTCTCCACAAAGATGGTATTATTCCAGAGTAAACGTTTTTGTTTGTGATTATTAGTACTGTTGAATGATGCACTTTTTATATGCTTTTAAGAAACCATCAGAGACTTTGAGATATAAGTCATTTTCAATTTTCAATACTTTGAATCCCTTAAATAGTTTTAAGCTCAACTGTTTGATGGGCAAATGAATGAACACCATGGTACAGAGTCCATCCTCTGTCTGTCCAGCATCAACTGTTTTCTAAAAATGATTACTCCTAAATATATTTGCATCAGATACCTTAAAAACATTTACACAACTTATTCTGAATATTCAACAGGTCTACTAATGAAATGTTATCAAGTTTGTTCAATTGAATATCCTTGACCCAAAGCAGCATGCTGGGATATAAGTCTGTTAACCCTTTCACCCCTGGGTAACTTTAGTGGACTCTACCATGCATTTATTGGGATGAGTCCATTATGGTCTACAGTGGTGAAAGGGTTGAAATTCATGAAGCTGACCCACTTTTTAAGTAACAAGACAAATGTGTTAAAACCCTCCATACCTGTTCTTGTCACATGCTGTCAACTTTAATTTGCTAAAATGAATATGAACTGGACGTTTTTTGAAGGCGACAGAGACATTACCAATATCATTGAGCACAGGTTTGCAAAGCAGGCCCATTAGGCATCTCTTGTTTTAATTTTGCTTTATTACAAAGTTTATATTTACCATTTAGTGCTGTAGATATTAATATTCCTGAACTCTTACATTTTTGTATGTGTTTAATTACTAAAGTAACAGAAATATGCATGTTACTTAAGAAATAATAAATGTATTATGGTGGAATATATAATGAGGGTGAGAAACTGTTTGAAAAAATAAATAATGAAGGGGCCTGAGTTGATTATTTTTCCAACATATTGTATCCCTATTAAAGATTCCACCATACTATACAAACATATGTTGATTATATCTATTCTACCAAGTAAATTGTAATGAAAGTCTTTTTCGTGTCTACCTCAAGTGTTCATACTCCTAAATGATAATCAAGGTGACCAAATAATTTACCTATAATTATTTTAATTAGGCTGTTCTTTTGCGTGCCATAACCCTGTTTACAGTTGTCCTATTTTGTATCTTTAACCTGGTTATGTTTCATTTTCAGGCACCATTTGGTCGACATATACATGTAATAAACAATTAACACTGATGTCATATTTTATACCAGATATTTATTTCAATCAATCAAACACACCACTCTATCGTCATCGCTCATCAACACATGAAATCAGCATTTGACAGATTTTCAAACACTAATTCATGTCCGACTGTTGCGGTAAGTTTGTCGGAATATTCTAACCGTGAGCTTGACATTTTCCAAATGTTTAGTAGGAACTTTTTGTGTATCTGCCAACAAATCTTCAAATACATGTACCCTCATTAAATATTGATAACTTGATAACAGTCCTGCGGCTCGCCTGTTTACATTCACGGGGAAGGTTTTTGGAAGATTGTTGGTCCGTTTTAAAATAATACATGCAACTGCATGGTCTATAATCCAATAATGCATGGTTAATGTCATTAACCATTGAAAAGTGTCGTGACATCGCAAACGTCGTGATTAAAGGATAATGTATACTCACTGTAAAGTGAAAATTCTAAAGTGTGGAAATGTCTGCATTGTCATTCTTTAAACTGTTGACAGTGTGGAAATCTTATCTTGCATTGGTTCTAAAATTTATAAATGCTGTTTGTCAATTATCTATATAATCTATTCATAAACAGTTATGTGTTGGTATTTGTTAACGGTTTTACTCAATGTAAGCAATACAAGAATTTCCACACTGCAAAATTTCCACTTTAAGAAGAAAATTTCATAAAATAGGTACAGACTAGCCCCTGACATTGATGTAGCCATCTTTACTAACAGTAAAAAATACCTAAATTTGGAGGATATAAGTCTGGTTGGTAGTTCTGATACTTGATTTGGGGGCGAGTATCATCATTAGCCTATGGTTTACAGGTCAGGTGGGAACTTGATTTGGAGGTGTTATAATTGGCCTCTGTATTTTGGTTCTAGTTAGTTCTTGATTGCGTTTGAAACTCTGCTTTAACTGCACTTGTGTATAAAGGGCACTATTTTATCACGTAATATGTGACTGTTACATTCTTTTTAACTGTATTTAAACAGATGATATCAAATTCAGTTGATCATTTAATGTTTATGGTATACTTGTGTTGAATATTTAATATTTATGTAATTTATATAACTTTACCCAGATTTAAGCATTAATGTGATTAATGTCTTAATTATATTGTATGAGAGTAGATTACTGTAAATGTTTCTTTTTTGGTGTTTTTTTGATTTTCATGAAACAATTTTTTCTTGAAATACAACCCGATGAAATGAATAGCCAATTCTTTCATCCTTACTTTCACTCTGGGTCATGGCCAGTAGACCTGAAATCCACAAATATAGATCCTGAAAAACTTACAGTTTTAGAAAATCCATAAAATCAGGGACACAGTTTTTGGAAATCAGAAAAAATGAGGGACAACAAAAAAAGGACTTTTACAGTAATGTTTAACATTGAAATTGGACCAACACCTGCCATGATCGTGTAAATGATTCCAATATGAAACAGAAACCCATGCTGATATACAAAATGTATATCTATATGTCTAATATATCTGGTTCATACAAGCTTAGAAAAGTGTAGGAGTTGGTGCCAGAGCTATACAATAGTCACTAGGTACTATAAAACACTGTAAAAGGTAAAATGTTCACGTTTGGAAATGTTTGTGTTAACTTACTCACCGTGAAAAGCGTGAATATTTACAGTAAAGGTACCATTGGGAAGTTCTGACCTTTGCTCAATATAACTTGAAATGTGCTTGATTATTATAGACTGGAGACAATTAACAATTTTTGGATAAATAACAAATAATTAATTAATTTTCTATGGAGGACTATTTCAAAGTTTTGTTACAAATGGACTGTTTGAGAGTACTGTGTTGTTCAGATATATCGTAAAAAGCTAAATTATTTAATCTGTGTGATCTGTATAATGGTACTTGAACTCCAAAAGCTGGAAATCTACAACCCCGTTTTCTAAAAAAACAAATGGACCTAGATGCAAGAAAGTGCTTGAGAAATTTTGTCCAAGCATGTCTGTTTGAACCATGTACAATGTACTTTTTTGTTGAACTTTATTAAATTGTCCCTATAGATGTCTGTGAATATATATAGTTTTTATGAAAACTGTGAGTTGTCTTTGGTAAGATACAACTTTCAGAGGTATCTTTGATCAGGCTATATTCATGTGTGATGCAAATTCGGAAGATATTGTTCAAAATCAAATTTCCCTGTTTTCATGTGCCCTATTTTCATTTTCCCTATTTTCAATTTCCATATTTTAAACTCATTGTAAATGCTTTTATGTAAGTGTGTAGTATTTTTGGTATATGATCAGAAATTCCCATTATATTCTTTCACCATTTCAATATCTCCTGAACGACGCGGATATTAGGTACTCGCAGAAAATACCTGGTATGTGTGCTATTGTAATCAGGTGCTATACATCTTACCATTAGCCTTTATGTTACCGTTAACCATGGCACCAAGTACTTTAGTTTACCGTGGTCTGTTTACCTGGTACTGGGTCTACTGTAAATCGCGGGTTCGAGACCTATACGTGCAGCATTTACCAGTATGGTACGGTTTTTCTCCGGAACTCCGGAAGTTAAGTAGTGTTTTATCAAAGCTGTAGTCATACTGGACCACACTGTCCAGTGGGTAGGTACAGTTTTTGGCAGTGGTACGGGGATCCGTGAAAGTGATTCAAATACAAAAGAATGGCATTTTCATCTTTCTTTTTTGTTATAAAGTAATTGACATTGTGATAACTTTTTCTTGAAAGACCCACATTTTCTCGTCTTGACTGTAGGTTTTATTATCTTTTACTAACTTTGTTATAGTCCTTATGAGTTATGTGTTGTCTTTCTACATTGTTAGTTATTTCATTGCTTTTAGAAAAAAAACAGAAGCTGAAATGAATATTAAATGTTCTTATATATATAATAAGCCATGTGAAGGATGCACATTTTTGCCATATTTTCAACGGATCTGTATTCAAATGTCCGTTTCGCTGCAATATTTTTTTTGGGTGGGGGGTGGGGGGGTTAATTATTTTTTGCCATTGTTTCATCGACTTTGAATTCAAATTTCGGGCTTTCAGTTGTTTTGTTTGCACACAATTCGGTATTCTCATAGAATATATCGTCGTTAGCTGATTAGCTCAGTCGTAAAAATATATTTTTAAATGTTACTTTTTATAATTTCTTCAAATTAACCAATATGATTTCTGTGTTTTTGTCTCTCGATGATCATTTGAAAATAATGTAAGTTTTGACTATCTTTGACCTATTTATGATGAAGGAAGAATCTACATATTGTAAGACTGACAAGGCTTTTGAAAGAATGTTCTCTGAACTAGCTGCTGATCGNCTGGATCCGCCACTGCTGTTATTGATGGTTTCGTGTATCTTCGGTTTGTTTCACTGCTGCAATATCTCTTTACACGATTAGAAGAATTATATTCCGTCTTTTCGTATTGCAGAGTTATCTGCTCTTGTGAGCAGGTATTGATTGTTACGTCATTTGTTTGTGAGAGTAACGTCATCATCTTTTGAGAAAACGACGTAATTTTCTCATACAAAGCAATGACTTTACAATCAATACCTGCTCACAGGAGAAGATAACTCTGCAATACACAAAAACGGAATAGCCTGATTAATGAGGCAAGTGACGCTTAACCAGACTGGTTAACTCACATCTAATCTTTTCCGGAAAAATGTCTGAACTTAGTGTTTTGGTTTTGAAAGTACTATGCAAGAGTGACTACATGGGTGACATGATCAAAGTAATACATCCTTACGGTCGTAGGTCACGTGATTTTAGCGTCAAACTATATATGTTATGGATATAATCACGTGATTAGTTACGGACATGCATCATGTGATCTAGGTTTGATACACTGGGTATACCTCAACTCATTTTGTATTTTCTTAGCCTCTCAACTTCGCCTTGATCATGAAAAGTTTAACATGTATTTGTATTTATTTTTGAGTGTACACTTACATATGTATTGTACTAGTTTCAGAAGTGGGTGAAATATTCGATTTTGCATTAGCCAGTGCTTGATTGGTCTAAATACGTGTTCCTCTCTCATATGATGGCGAATTGTATACATATTATATATGCATACTAATTATGTATTAACCCATTTACCCCTGAAGTTACATTTGAACATTACCTAATCAAACACTGGGCAAGTCCATTTTAAAAATGTAGGGGTGAACTTGAGTTAATTAAACCACGGAATTAGATTATCTAAGTCCGTGGTTAAACAGCTACCTTGATGGTATGTGTTCTCACTCTTTTTGTGATGGACATTGCTGAACTATTCCAATAAAACTGAATTTGAGTAAATCCTCGGGAGTTGTTGTTTATGATACATTAAATATTTCCAGTACATTCCATTTTCAAGTAAACATAGCCCTTCGTTTGTGCATGATGTAGTCGTTTAAGTTTAATTGAGCTTTGATATAACTTTCGGTTTTTAGGTCACCTGAGCTTTAGCTCAAGTGACCTATTGCTATCCGTTTTCGTCCGTCGTCGTCCGTCGTCCGTTAACATTTTACATTTCAAACTTAAAGTCAAGTTCTGCTGGGCCGATTGAACTGAAAGTTGGTAGGAATGATCGCCTCATGGTCCTGACAAAGTGTTGTTATTTTTCGGGTCGATCAGAAATCCAATATGGCCGCCACGGCCGCCATTTTGAAAACCTATTTCAAACTTAAAGTCAAGTTCTGCTGGACCGATTGAACTGAAAGTTGGTAGGAATGATCGCCTCATGGTCCTGACAAAGTGTTGTTATTTTTCGGGTCGATCAGAAATCCAATATGGCCGCCACGGCCGCCATTTTGAAAACCTATTTCAAACTTAAAGTCAAGTTCTGCTGGACCGATTGAACTGAAAGTTGGTAGGAATGATCGCCTCATGGTCCTGACAAAGTGTTGTTATTTTTCGGGTCGATCAGAAATCCAATATGGCCGCCAC